CAATTTTTCATAATTATCTAACTATAGAAGATCATGGAGATCACACGATTTAGTGATTGTGTAAAGTGATTATTTGAAAAGTGATTTTTTAGAGAATACCTGATTAAAAAGTATTGAAAAGTTATCGAAAAGGTGTGTGTGTGTGATTGAAAATGAGTGGAGAGGAAAGAGATTTTCAAATAACACTTTTAAATGACTTTATTTGTTCACAATGATGTCTTCGATTGGCAAACCAAGCATGTTGAATACGAGTGTTACTTCATTCAGTAGTTGTTTAATTTACATTGCATTTCTTCTTTTCAGTTGATTGAGTTACGTATATCTTCACTAAAGCAAGTACCATTGGTGATTTTAGTATTGACTTCTAAACTCAAGGTTAAGTCTACTTTACTACCAAATTGTTTTTATTGTACCAACGTATGGGTAGACAAAAGAACCGAAACTAACCAAATCAAACCAAACCAAATTAGGCCATTCAGTTTGCTTTTACTTAAATTTTTAAATGGTTTTGGTTCCTAAAACTAAGAATTAGTCAATTATGGTTTGGTTCTGATTCTAACTTCCAAAACCAAGATGAAGTTATAAGCCAATTATTTTTAATGACTTATGTTTATTTGTCAATTTTATGAATGTGCTTTAGTAGAAAATATTTATATGAAGATGAAACTTTTTGTTTGTATTGAATGAGCTTTAACAATTAGAATTTTAATAGATTTTGATAAAAATTAATAAAAAAGAAAAAAGAAAAAGTGAATCTGTGATTGAAAATGAATTAAAAAAAAAAATGAAATGAGTTTACACGTGTGCTCAATAATGTACTATTTATCAATAAAGTTTCAGGCACTTATGATCGGTTCACGAGTTACGACCTGATCTGCAATAAACAGAAAGGTATAACAATTAGGCAATAGTGCCATCTTTGTTGACAGGCAGATTGATATAATGTCATATGACAATATATCATTAGACTATTTTAAACATGACCATCATTTCCGTCTAATCATTTTCATCAACCTATGCATTTGTCAAAAAAGGTGTTAAAATTAGAGTTAAATCCATCAATGACCACCCAACTTTATATTTAGGGCATGTTTGACAAACACTATTTTCCATGGAAAATTGAAAATGATTTTCATTTCCACCCATTTGGCTTGTTTGATGGACTTTTTTTCTAGGGAAATTTTTTTCTTTCTAGCAACCTCACGAGCATGTTTTCACCAATTTTGTGGAATTGAATTTCTCACCGTTTTGGTAGGAAATCTGATTCCGCCTTCTTTTTTTTTTTTTATCATTTTTTTTAAATCTTTTTTTGCAATGGAAACAAATTTCATAACCAATTGTAAAAAAAAAAAAATTCACTTTAATGGATAATTTTCATTTAAAACAAAGTCAAACAAANTTTTTTTTTTTTGTTGGCAATAGAAACAAATTTCATAACCAAATGAAAAAAAAAAAAAATTCACTTTAATGGACAATTTACATGTAAAACAAAGTCAAACGAACACAAAATTTTGATAAAAAAAATGATTTTTTTTAGAATTTTTTTTTATTTTTTGGCAATGGAAACAAATTTTATAACCAATTGTGGAAAAAATTATCACTTTAATGGACAATTTTCATATAAAACAAAGTCAAACGAATATAAAAAGATAAAAAATTAAAAAAATTTCGGGTGAAAAATTATACCAATCAAACATAATTAATTAACAATTCTCTGAAAAACAAGCTCTAGACAATTACTTTATCTGAAATTCATTTTCTTTCTACAAATTTTTCATTATTGCAATTAAATGGACCCTAAGTGTCGTCGTGGGCACCCCATTTGATTTTGTTTCACCATTGTCACCCAACTTATATTTAGTATCACCATAGTCACCCAATTTGATTTTATTTCACCATGACCACCCAATTTCATATAATTTTTCACAATGGCCGTTTAATTTCATATAACATTTCACCATACTCATCCAATTCTTTTTACCATTTTTACTAATTTCAAAAGGGGTAAAACTGATATTATATATATAATCAATTTTTTAAAAAAAATTTAAATTTAAAAACATTTATTTTAAAATAAGTTTTTATTTTATTTTAAAAATGTTTTTTTTAAAATAAGTTTTTATTTTTATTTTTGTAAGGAACTTTTTTTTAAAAAAATAAATTTTTATTTTATTTTATTTTATTTTATTTAAATATCTTTTTATTTTATTTTGAAATTTTTTTTATTAAATAAGTTTATATTTTACTTTATTTTTCTAAATAACTTGTTTTAAATAATTTTTATTTTATTTTATATTTTAACATTTTTTAAAAAATAAGTTTTTATTTTATTTTATTTTTTATTTAGATTTCTTAAAAAATATTATATATATATATAATGCAAAGTTACCGTTTTATCCCTTTTAATTGTGTGTTTGATGGATATTATTGAGGAAATAATTATTTTAAATAGTGATACAATGAGAAATATGTGGTTAAAAAGTAAGAAAAATTATTAATGTGATGAAAAATATTATTTTATTGAGAAATGTGTTGTTGAAAATGAATTTTGAAATAATATGTACCAAATAGGGGCTAAAATTAATGAAAATTATGAAAAGAAGTTATGTGGCCATAGCGACACGTTACAGGAAAGTGAGTAGAAACATTATATGAAATTGGTTGGCCATATTGAAATAAAATCAAATTGGATGGTCACGATGACACTAAGTATAAAGTTAGATGATCATGATGAAATAAAATTAATTTGAGTGTTCAGACTGATACCAATTGTACAATTGGGTGGCCATGGATAAATTTGACCCGTTAAAATTCAAGTAGCAAAATTCAAGATGTAAAAAGTCATGCTATGTGTACATAGGAGAGGATGACATAATGTGCGCGGGGCACATAGATTTATCCATAAATATTCGACATCTTCAGCTATCGCTCTGACGTCAAAAGTCAAAACTCTTTACCATTTCTCTGTATGCTCACCATGGGGAAGAGGACCAAAACGATGATGCATCAAACTGCAAGAAGTACAGCGTTCTACTGTACGACGCCGCGTGGGTTCCACTCGCAGCTGCTTCCACCTTCAAGTCCGGATCCGAATCAGCACTGGGGACACCAGAACCTGCATCTTCCCCCGTCTCGAATTACAATATCGTCCTAGTCGGAGGTGGTGGAGAAGGCCGCAGTTGAATACCAAATTCTCTCATTGTCTCTACCTTTGATTTTACTTCTAATTCTCTCTCCGATTAGCCTGTAAGTCTCACAATTAAAGAAACTGCACTCAACCCACACCTATACATGTCTGTATGTATTTATGAGTTTGCATTTGTATAACATTATTGACTTTGCTAAGTGATGTAAAATTTTCAGCGTTGATCGATTTGGAATATATTGAAAAATAGTATGAAAATATTGAATATATTCTTTAGATCTGATTCAAAATTGATGCTATTGCCATTGAATCATAGCGGTTTATTTTTTTGGTTTTGCTACTTTGGTTTTAGTAGAATGCTTTATAACTTTCGGTAGAAAATATTTTACTGTTTCATTCGTTAAGAAAACTTTGGGCAACTTTATATTGATTCATTCTGTTTACCATTTTAGTTGCGGTAGCAGTATATTATGGTATAGGCAGAAGTGCCGTTTCATGGATCCATGATTTTACAATCAAATTGTTGGAGCTTCTTGCAAGTTAAGAAAGATTGCTCAAGGTTAACTTCTTACAAGCCTGTTGGAGGCTACATTCACAGGTTGGAGTATTCAATTACCGATGGTTCAATATTCGAAGAGTACGTTTCTTTGTGTTGTACAGATTCAACCCCGTTATCGAGTGCTTAGCTTGTTACGACACAACAATCCACCGCCACCAGCAATGAGAACCAAAGGCGACACCAACTGGCAAACCGGAAAGGAACAACCCAGTTGGAGGCAAAACTACTTCGTTTGATATTGTTAATTAGTTGGATAGTTAGCTTCAAGTTGTTAAACAGTTAGTTAGTTAGCTTAATTGTCTATAAATAAACCAGTTGTAATTCATTTTGTATTAAGCGTTTCAATTAATGGAAATTCCCAAATTCATCGTCTTCTCCTTGATCACTTCATTAGATTCTGCAATTGCAGCTTCACCTTTTATCTTTAATTGATGAATTTGACATGGTATCAAAGCATATTTAGCTGAAATTTAGCATCTATCATTTGGAAAATGGCAAATGTAGATAGCATCATTTCCTCGGCTGGTGATCCAACCGGCCAATATTATTTGCATCCGAATAATAATCCTAGAGCTTTAATCGTTTCAGAGATTTTTAGTGGAGATCATTAAATATCGTGGAGTCAAGCAATATCCATGACATTGAGTGTAAAGAATAAAACTGGATTTATTGATAGCACCTTGAAGCCTCCAATTTCACTAACAGGTAATACATACAACTATGGCTTCGAGAAAATAATATGGTCCTTTCGTGGTTATTGAATTCAATTAGTAAAGAAATTTGACAGAGTCTGTTGTACATCACGTCTGCATATGAAGTGTGGAACAAGTTGAAAAAAAAGATACAGTAGAAGTGATGGACCTCAAGTTTACCATCTAGAAAAATACCTCAATGCTATTTCACATGGATCACAAAGTCTCACCATGCATTATAATTCATTCAAATGCATTTAGGAAGAATACATCAGCTACAGTTCATTTCCAAAGTGTAGCTGTGAGATATTATCCAATTGCACTTGTGATATACTGAAGAGCATATCAGATACATAGCAAGCAGATGCAGTCATGAAGTTTCTTGTAGGATTGAATGAATCATACTTTGCACTATGAAGCCAGCTATTGCTTACTTCACCACTTCCATCATTGGCTCGAGTTTATGCCCTTATGCTTCAAGAGGAAAGTTAAAGAAACCTGTAGAATTATTCAATTTTAGAATCAGCAGCCATGACAACAAGACAGCCACATAGATCATTCACTAGACCTCCACTTTGGAAAGACAAACAGTAACCAAAGTGCACTCATTGTGGATACTTCAATCATACTGTGGATAAATGCTTTCATCTTATAGGTTTTCCCCCGGGCTGGGAAAGATCCAAGGGACGGAAGGCTCTTGTAAACAATCTTGCTGCACATGCTGTGAATGGAGATCAGCCAGCAAAGGATGAGATATCAAGTGTCTCGTTTAATCAAGACCTTTATAAGCAATTCCTGGCATTTTCTAGAACTCAACAAACATCCCTTCAGTCATCTAACTCAGCAATTCTACCAGATACTATCATTACTATAGGTATATCTCTTTGTAATTCGATTTTTTCCAAATCCAAGGCCATTACTTGGATAATCGATAGCGGGGCCACAGATCACATGGTATGTTCCCCAACATTTTTATCCTCTATTGATTCAACTACAGTAAAAAAGGTAAATTTACCAAATGGATCATCTGCACTGTTAGTCACATTGGAAAAGTAAAAATTCCTGAGAATTTGTTCCTTGAAAATGTCTTTTGTGTGCCTATTTTCTCCCTCAACCTGTTTTCATTATCTAAACTAACCAAAGCTTCAAATATCCTTGTGTTTTTCTCTGCCTCTCATTGTTTTATATAGGACCCTGCCAGTAAGAAGATGATTGGTTTTGCTAGAGAAAATGACGGACTATATCATCTCATCTCATCCCAGCCCAACCCAACCCAACATTCCATACTCAATTTCACAGCATTTCACAGCATATATTGACATTGTAGACTTGGGTTTATATGATGCAATCAAAGGTTGGCACCCATAGCCTTCTAAAAGGATTTGATCAAATGGTGCTCACACAATTTCAAACCAAAATTAAAGCCTTTCGAACTGATAATGGAGCTGAGTTTCTCATGAATGATTTTTGAAATTCACATGGCATTCTCCACCAGAGGAGCTATGTTGAATCACCTCAACAAAATGGTACTGTTGAGAGAAAACACCAGTTCATTTTACCAGTTGCAAGGGCACTACTTTTTCAATCAAATGTGGAGTGATTGTGTCCTGACAGCAATCCATATCATTAACAGAATTCCTTCTCTATTTCTTGACAATAAGACCCCATATGAGATACTCTTCTAGAAACCAACAACCTATACTCACCTTCGAACCTTTGGATGTTTGTGTTTTGCAAGCACTCTTACTAGTCATCATCACAAATTTTTCCCTCGTGCATTGAAGTGCATTTTCCTTGTTTATCCACTTGGTTCCAAAGGTTATAAGGTTTATGATCTTGAAAGTCACGGAACTTTTATCAGTCGAAATATCATTTTTCATGAGCTATCATTTCCTTTTAAAAAAATTTTCTCATCACCTCCAGATGATCCTTATATCTTCCCAATCTCTGAATCTTCCTCTGACTTACCTTTTCAACCTCCCTCACACACTATCCATCATTCAGAAACCAGTAGAAGACAAGCTGATATTAGCTCAGTAGGTGAAACCAACTCTCCTCATTTTCCCCCTTCTTTACCACATCCTATTCCTATTATTCATCAACATGTGACCAGAAAGTCTTGTCGGCAAAAGCATCCACCTTCATACTTAATGATTACCAATGCAATGTGCCTTCTACCTCAACAGCAATCCAGTCATCCATCTTGCTGGTAGGACTTCCTACCTCTGGTAAGCCCTTTTCTATCTATTTCTAACTTTTTATCAAGTGCTAGACTTAGCCCCAAACACAGAGCCTTTACTACATCGATATCAAATGTCTATGAACCAAAATTTTTTAAGCATGCCATTAGATTTCCACACTGGAAAGCTGCTATGGATAGTGAAATAAAGGCCCTTGAAGCAAACAACACTTAGACCCTCACTCCTCTGCTACCTGATAAACACACAATTGGTTGTAAATGGGTTTACAAGGTTAAATTTTAGGTTTATGGCTCTGTCGAGATGTATAAAGCTCATCTAGTTGCCAAGGGTTACACTCAATAAGAATGCTTGGACTTCTTTGACACATTTTCTCCTGTGACAAAATTAACTTCCATCTGTGTTCTCTTGGTCGTTGCTGTTGTCAATAACTGGTTCTTTCATCAATTAGACATCAACAATGCTTTTCTCCATGGTGATCTCCATGAAGAGGTATACATGGACATGCCTCAAGTTTATCCCAGTCTTGATCCATCACTTGTTTGTAAACTGAACAAAAGTCTATATAGTCTCAAAAAAGCATCTCGCCAATGGTTCGCGAAATTGACTTCCAGCCTTATCTCATTTGGTTTCCATCGGTCTAATTCTGATTCATCTTTGTTTTTAAAGTCTACTAGTGATTATTTCCTAGTTTTATTGGTTTATGTCTTGCAAGTAATAATCTTGGTGCAATTCAAATCCTCAAGAAGTTCCTCGATGATTGGTTCTCAATTAAGGATCTGGGAGAAATAAAGTATATTCTTGGTTTGGAGGTAGCTCGAACCCAGCAAGGTATTAGCCTTTGCCAGAGAAAATATGCCTTGGATATACTTGACGATTGTGGATTTTCTGGCTGTAAGCATGTGGCTTTTCCTATGGAGTCTTCTCTTAAACTTACTGGAACTGAAGAAGACTTATTACCTGATCCTACAGTCTATCGAAGACTCATTGGCAGGCTCATCTATCTTACTATTACCAAGCCTGATTTGTCCTATTCCATACAAGTCCTAAGTCAGTATATGTCTAAACCAACTTAGTCTCACCTTCTTGCTGCTTACAGAGTCCTCAGATATATAAAGGCGACTCCTGGTCAGGGCCTTTTCTTCCCCTCTAATTCTGATATTCATCTGAAAGCATATAGTGACAGTGATTGGGCTGGATGCCTTGACACAAGGCGAAGCATTACCGATTTTACCGTTTTCCTTGGGAACTCTTTAATTTCTTGGAAGTCTAAGAAGCAATCCACTGTAATTCGATCTTCTACTAAAGCTGAATATAGAGCTTTGGAATCTACAACCTGTGAAATCCAGTGGCTGATTTACCTTTTGAATGATTTGGCTATTACTCATTCACACCCAGCACTTTTATATACTGATAGTAAATCAGCTCTATCTATTGCCACTAATCTTGTCTTGCATGAGAAACTAAGCATATTCAAATCGATTGCCACATCGTTCGAGAAAAGGTGCATTCTGGCCTAATCAAGATCATTCATGTCCCTTCTCATCATCAACTTGCAGATATCTTCAACCAAGCCCCTAGGCTCTGCACGTTTTCATTCTATAATCTCCAAGATGGGCATTTTGAACATCCATGCCCCTCTTGAGGGGGCATTTACGACACAACAATCCACCACCACCAACAAAGAGAACCAAAGGCGACACCAGCGGCAAACCGGAAAGGGACAACCCAATTGGAGCCAAAACTACTTCGGTTGATATTGTTAATTAGTTGGATAGTTAGCTTCAAGTTGTTAAATAGTTAGTTAGTTAGCTTGATTGTCTATAAATAAACTAGTTGTAATTCATTTTGTATTAAGCTTTTCAATTAATGGAAATTCACAAATTCATCATTCTCTCCTTGATCACTTCATCAGATTCTGCAATTGCAGCTTCACCTTTTATCTTTAATTTGTGAATTTGACATAGCTTGTCAAAGAACATTGTTTTGTTGAGGTTAGCGAAATGTTAAATAATCACCAGAAAGAATGAATTTAGTTACTGAGCACTAAGGCCCTGTTTGATTGAGGTAGTTTTCCATGTAAAATGGAAAAGAAATTTCATTTCCACACAAATTACATGTTTGATTAGCCAACAATTCTTGGCAATTGAATTTTCACATTTTGGCCAACGTGTGCACAATTCTTGGTTTTTGAGGAATTCATTTTCCCATAGTTTTGGTGAGAAATGGTTTTCCAGCCTTTTTTTTCTTCTTTTTTTTTTTGCAATGGAAACAAATTTTATCCTCAATTGTAAAAAAATTTCCTTTAATGGACATTTTTCATAAAAAAATAAAGCTAACCGAACACCAAAAGATCCAAAATTTCAACATTTTTCATGTGGAAAATTATACTAATTAAACACAATTAATTGAAAATTTACAGTAAAATGAATTCTAGGCAATTTAATTCCATGGAATTCATTTTCTTTCCACTCAAATTGCATCATTACAATCAAACAGACCCTAAGAGTCATTGGTGCATTCTTTGATAGAGGGAATATCCAACACAAGAAGACATTCGAAATGTCGATAGCACCTGCGACAAAAAAGTGAACACCCCTTTGATTAAAATGAATAAATCTCTTCTTCCAGAAAGTGAAAAAAAGGGATATGAAATTATAGTTACGGTTGTGTTACATGTATATAATAATTTACATAAATGTGTTAAAATATGATTGTATCAGAATTTCTTCAATTATATAAATAAAAAAAATTCCCACTTTGACACTTCATTTGTACGTAAATCATTATGTAATTGATTATGTACAAGTAGCATTGTTCTTGTAGTTAAGGGAGAAAATTAGAGGTTAGAGTATATACAGTATTAATCATATGCCATCTCTCAAGCCGTTTGATCCTTGACTGCATGTCTTTGATGATGCCTTCCATTTGTGAAGCTACTCTACTAGGTGATGACTCTGAAAATGAACTACTACCCTGTTTGGAACCATGGAATCACATTAGAGCATGATCCCTATTCGTTGAATTTCGCAAGTGTACGGATCGTGATAAGTAATAAAGTAGATTTATCAAATCTGAATATCGTCCCACAGAGACTAGTA